CCATCACACATTGTACACAAATATCGATAGTCAACTTTGTACCCCACAAATATGTATAAGCAATTATGCTTCAATAAAAAAAAAGTCTGACAAACAGTAGGCTAAAAAGAGGAGACAAGGAAATTTACAAGTAGACCCTCAGTTTTCTCTAAAACAACAATCAAAATAAATCCATAGAATTAACTTAATAGCTTAAAATGAACAACAGTATTCTTTTTTCAAAGTTTGTGATCTTAACATTAATTTCTTATTATTTGATTTATCAGCGTTTTCCACCAAACCAACAGGCAAATTAGAGACAATATATTTAGCAATTTACAGATAAATCTGAAGATAATCATCCATTTGCAAAATAAGCATAAGTAAAGGAAAGCAACACAAATACTTGAACTCTAAGTAATACAGTATTTGAAAAACCAAAAACTAAAAAGCTCATGTGGTTGGCCACTTTCTACATTTATGGCCAAAAAATACTGCAGGCTTTTGGTTTTTCTTGCTTTCTTGTTCCTTAAAATACAGTACTTGCTCAAGAATGGCAAAATGTTAGTAAATGTTGAATCTGGGTGATGAATCTGTAGAGGTTCATTACACAAGTTGGTGTATTTTAATACAGTACATGCCCATTAATGAGGGGTTGTAAAATGATTAGGAGATAAAAATTAAACAGATCTCTTACTCTTTAAGCTCACTGTAAACTGGCAGGACTGACGGGTGGCAGCTCACTGTAAATTGGCAGGACTGACGGGTGGCAGACAAACGCAAATGCAATGGTTGGTAAAGCATACACGGTCTATTTGAAAGAAAAAAATAAGCATTAAGAAAAGACATTTTCACCATAAAAATTATACAGCTCCAGTATTTCTAAGCTGTCTTTTTATCTGACAGCTTTCCAGAATCCCTGGATTATTTGGTTCTTAGGAAGGTTTTGATTCCTAAAATAGGAGCAGCTTTTCTAAGAGAGCTTATCTGGCTCCAGCCATTAGGCACTTGTCACAGAGGGGCTTAAGATTTGACTTACCTAGAGAGTATTTTGTATACTCCAGGCATAGCAACACCTTGTATTTATGTGGCACTAAGCCAGTTACATGGCACTTTTCCTACATTATCTCACTGGGGCCCCCCAGCAACTCTGAGCAGACCACTGCTGTCCTCTGATCACTCCCCCTCCTGACAGGTTAAGTGACTTGTCCAAGACCTCCATCTCTATTTTACTGCTCTTTGCTCTCTATCAGGGGCATCAAATCAGACTTAAAAAATGGCATTAAAAAAGAAAATCAGTCTCACATTTTACTACTTTGGCTGTATACTTAGAGTTAAAAAAAAAAAAGAGAGAGAGAGATCTATTTAGTTTTCTTAAAAACTCTCAAACTCAGTATAAAGTCTTATGCAAAAAGAAGCTGGCAGAGAAGGAAGGAAAAGTAACATATTTTGTGTCTAACTCTTCTGAGGCACCGTACCAGACACATTCTAACAAACCCCTGTTAAGATACAGAATAGAATTCTCATATTTACACAAGGGGTTGGTTGATATGTCTGAGGATTCAAATCCAAGACTGACTCCATCACCCACTGTTCCCCACACTAACAACAATACCTTAATAGTATGAAAGTTTTTTAAGTGCCAGTTTGTGGTGGTATCTGTGTAAGCTGAGGAAGTTTGTAGTGCTCCGTTCTGTCAGCACTGTATAAGAAGTTGTGGGCTTGGATGTTGTTAATCTCTTTTTAAAGCATCACCCAGCACTCTACACAGGCAGAGTAGAGCTGGGACGATTAAGCAGCAAGAGATTTTCATGGGTTATCCTGCATGTAAACTGGGTAAGAGGGAGCATGAAATACAATAAATGTATATTTCTCAAAGGTCTCTAAATGGATTGTAGAATACGGAAGCAATGGAACTGTGTGTTCTTTTGAGCTCTAATACATTCAAAAAGAGTGTAATTACAAGAAGTATGGGAAATATAATGCCCTTAATAAAAATGCTCATTTTTATCTGAAAAGGATAAGGAAACTTACCTTTGAATTGAAGGTAACATATTTTGGCGTACACGTGCCAACATTTGTTGAATTAACACTTGTTGTTGAATTTAGCTCTTGGACAATGCAGGGGATTTGAAATTTCTTGTAGATTACCTAATATTAAAAAATATAGAAGAAATAATATAGACTTAAAGCTAAATAAGGGATAATTATTACACGGCATTGTCCTGTGGCAAAACCAAATCAGCCATTTCATTGAGCACTTACCACTATTAGGAAAAAAACCATACAGCTCAAGGAAAATCCACTAGTATAGCCAAGATACCCTTCAAAAAAATAAAAATAAAATGTTATTATTTCATTCATCACCTCATTTCTTTCAATGCACTATTTCAAGAACAGTTTGGGGCTCCAACAATACACATAGAAGCCAATGTGAATACAACATTTATTATTTGACAGTGCTACTTTATTTGGCAAAAAATGGGGCTGTGAATAAAACCCTTGTATTAGGTGTTTTGATTCCAGCTCTCCTTGGCACACTAGAGAACACAGATTCCCAGAATCCGGGAAGAAAGAACCTCCCAATTTTGGCCTTAAGCCTGTGTTGGTGTACTCTGATGGAGTCTTACAGGCAGATACATTTACTCCTTGATCTCCTCAATAGCTCTTTATTATGCACTTATTGTGTGCATACTGAATGTCAGTTCCAATACTTTTCTCCCCAGATAAGAAGCATGCAAATAAATGAAGTGAATTTCTAGGGATAAATTATCTGGGGATCTTTACCTTGCTCCCCGTAGAATATCTGGGAGATCTATGACTGCCACCATAACCTCCAGAGAAGCAGAGTTAAGTGGCCTCTGAGGGACCGCATTATTCTTATCCCTAGGGAAGAGCCCTTCTCTATGTAAGTGGAAAAGAGCTACTTAGATAGGTACAGGAAAACCTCAATATAGACCCACAAGTCAGAAAATTAAGTAGTTAAAAAAAGTCTATTTATAAACTTCACAGAAAAACTTCAGAGGTCTGATATTTTTCATCCAAAACAAAATAAAAACTGGTTTGTAATTATTTTTGGAAGAACTTTAATCCAAACTTCTGCCTTGAATTAGTCTAGAATTAAAGGTAGTGCATTTTAGAGGGTTTTGATTTGATGGCAGTCTGGCCTCATTATTCAATGTAGGAAATTCTCATAACATCAGGCATACTTGTCTCCAAATATAAACATAAAAATAAATGTCAAAACCAAATAGATATGACTTGGAGATTATCCATCATTTTTGACTTCTGACTTCTCTCTCTCTCTCTTCAGTGAGGCAAATAATTGAGATTGGTTAGACTTTCTATATTTAAGAGTGATTCATAATACTTTTGGGTATAAATACAAGCAGCTTTCTACCTTGATATTAGATTTGAAAATCCATTTGTCTAAATAATCAGGGTATATAAGGTCTCTCTCTCTCTTCAGTGAGGCAAATAATTGAGATTGGTTAGACTTTCTAAATTTAAGAGTGATTCATAATACTTTTGGGTATAAATACAAGTAGCTTTCTACCTTGATATTAGATTTGAAAATCCATTTGTCTAAATAATCAGGGTATATAAGGCCTCATGAGGAGAATTCCATTTTCTGGACTTTTCTTAAGAGTATCCTGTAAGTTGTACTATTGAAAATAGCACTGGCTGTTCTGGCCCCAGAACCTCCCTTCTGCCCTCTCCAGCTTAGTAGAGGGACTGCTTATGAAGTCACATACAGATCAGTGTTTTTATCCCAAATTAAGCTGGGCCTGACTAATATCCAAAATTTATCATTCACTTAACCTCTAGTCTAAAAAGTGGAAGCAGAGAGCAAAGTTGTTCATTTTTATTTGGTTTCTGATTCATCTGGGCACCGCAGAGACTATGATAAAAGTAAGATCTTTCCTTACCTAAGTTCTTGAAGAGACACAGAGGGAGAATTATGCCAAAGGTAACTACCACCACCAGAACTCGGCCATCCAAATACCAGGCTCTGAAAGGCATTGGAGCGGTTTGGTTATATTTTTTAAGAAAGTGACATTTTTTCCCCTCAAATGTAATATTTTATGACATATTTTAATTAACTTTTTATTATTAATAATTTTTAAAAATTTTTCTACTTGGGCTTTTAACCATTAACTTTTTAACTGTTAACTAATTTTAACCATTAACTTTTAAAATCATCATTCAGGTTTTACCCAAATGCTTTAACTCAACCACTACTCATTTACTATTGCCTCACTCCCATGTAGCATAAAAAGGGAGACTGTTTTTTTTTTTTTTCTCCCCCACCGGCTAAATGTAGCGTTTAGTATTCCTTTGTATTATTTACGTGGTTTCTAAACCCAATGCATGCACTGCATTCTGTCACATTCCAATTTGTCCTATCAGTCATTCAAAGAGAAAGTTCCTTTTTGTTTTGCTTGGCTAATATCAGCAAGAAACAAGTCACGACAGGTAAGCATTTTTCTATCCCTGATCTCTTGGACTTGACCTTGAATCCTGAGGACAGAACACTAGGAACTCTGGCTTCTACAATTCTCTCTTGAAAGAAAACAGAGAAACTAAAACTGACAAGAACTGTCAAACAAGAAGGAGTCAAAACATAACTTTTGTGCCAAATGTAGCTGCAACATTTTCCAGGGCTAGCTACATCTTTAATGAGATTGGCTCATATAAATCTTGCTCCCCAAATTCTGTACCGTCTTTAAAAAAGAGACTGGGGTCTTAATTTTTTTGTATGTTCTATTTCTGTGTTAAAAATCCTCCATATGTGTTCTATTTCATAGAAACTAGATATAGATTTCAGGCTCTTTGGAAAATGCAGTATCTACCGTTTGCAGCATGACAGGTGAATCTACCTTTTAAATGTTCATATTTATATGGGTCTCCCTACTTCTTTCATTTATATAGCCCCAAAGAATTTACCGTTGAAACAACAAAAGAAAAAAAAATCTGGGAAAAACTTTGTTTCTGCAATTTTCATAAAACAAAAACTTTGGTTAGCCTGCATTTGAATTGAACACATTTTAGTTATATCACAAAAAAATGTCCATAACTTACGAAAATGCCTCTTCCTCTCCCATCAGAAACTTTATGGCGGAGGGTAGTTCATTTTTTACTATGAAGAGGTAGCTCAGCATTGCTGGAGGAAAGTGAGAACATTTTTAGAAAGAAGATACTGAGGCTTATGTTGCAAGCTATATAAAAGGTTACCAGCCTGTTCTTAGACTAACCTTCAATAAGATACAAAGGCAGCTTTAGCTACTTTAACTATATATATATAATATATTTGGCTTTAAGTAAGTGACTTCTGTCTTTGCTTTACTTTCCACGTGCCATGTGAGCAACGAGGATAACTGCTTGAATTATGTTAAAATTCACGTGGCCACGCAACCACCAGAATTAGAAAAGATAATAATATTCACATGCTTTAACGTTATGTATAGAAAAGCATGTTCTTTTTACCTCCAGTGTTCTGCAGAGAGGTGGCTCCAAAGATCACGAGCTTCCCTGTGGTGCCAAACACTTGTTCTCCCAGCTTTTCATAAACCATGCAGCCTATTTAAAAATTAGATTTGAGAACACAAGAAATGACAGGATTGTATAAGTCAAAATAGCTAAAATTTCATCATTCTATTGACCATTTCCTAATTTATTTTGTGCCTTTCTCAAATGCACACCAATAGCCATCTTGGCTTTGCAAGGGTTAGGGCATTCTCATAATAAAACAAGCTCTTGACATTTTAAAATGTCAGACATGACCACCATTTCTCCTTTTTCAAGTTGGCTACGAAAGCATTAAACTATTAAACTATTAGGTCATAAGGCTTATTTTTTAACCACTTCTACTTTACTGAGGGGAAATTCCCACTCTGATCATTTTCTCAGGTCTGGTAAGTACCATTAGAATAAATAGTTGATTTTAAAAATTCTGATGGTCAAGGCAAAAGATTCCTTTTAATTAATTACTTGAATTGATTAGGCTAACAAGGAATTATCTTAATAACATCCCATTAGTGTCTCTTGTGTCCTAAATATAATAACAAGCTTAGAAACATCTAATAGTCATGACAAGAATTGTGATCATTTGTACAATTTAGTTCAAAGACATGTAACCCACAAAAGAGAGCAGCAGACAAATCTATCAAAAGAATAATTTGGCTGTAGCAAAATTCTGAAGTGTTCAACTAGCTCATTTCAACAAATACTAAAATTCTAAACGATTCATTTTTTTAAAAAGTGTTTATATTTCTTTATGACAGTTCAGTTCATGTTTTCAAAAGGTTCACAGAAAGCAATATGGGTTAGACTATAATTAAACCTTTGTTTAATGATCTCTCATAAGACTGGTGTTTAAACTAGACAATGGTTAGATCCTCAGTTTATTACAAAATGTTTTAAATGGAGTTGTCTATATACAATAATAGTTGGCCAACGTGGTTTCAGCTAATGTAAAAGTCAAAGTATTGCAAACATAATCCAGTGTCCCAGGGATAGAAAATAAATACTTCATGTATTACACTGCCCAGAACACTTGAAATCTCTTCATAGCTCGCTCACTCCCACACTGCCTCAGGAGTAACATTTTCTCCTTGGAATACGTACAAAAGAGAATGAAAGATCTGTTTACTTTTAAAACCTTGAAGCCTATAACATAAAAACATGGGATCTCTGACCCAGATTTATAAAGATCTAAGGAAAAACTAGAGCCTTTACAATGAAGTCATCTCAAGCTAGAAGAACAGGTATAATTGAGGGTTCACTTTAAATGACAATGCTATTTGCCCATTGCCCATGACAATTTCATTTATATTTTGCTGCATCTGTGTCTCTAGGTAAATACCACTATAGGTCTTCCAGTTAATGTAGGCTGCAGAAGTCTTTCTTTGTCATAATCAAGTTGCCAAACAGGGAAAACATCATTTGGTCACAATATCACCATGAAAATCATTTAGCCTGGCTTTAACAAAATTAGACATGTTCTCAGCTTACCTGTTTCCTTCGAACAGATCAATAGAAGGTTTATTGAATATATAGACAGCAACGTCACTGAAGCCAAAAGTATCCTAAAGCAAGAACAACAAATCTTGTTGTAATAACTAGAAAAGATCATATTCTGACCTTACATTTTAGAAGGGCAAAGGTTTATTTATATGTTAACACTATTTGTTAATAGTATCCAAATTTTGGAACCTATTAGTCATCCTCCCTTTAAAATCCTCAATAAAAATGTCCTACCAAATAAAGAAGTGCTCATTAGAGTCTGAGTAACTCTCGCAGTTCAAATCCTTTACGTAATTCAAAGCCCAAATTGCTCTCTGGGAACATCTCAGTTGAGATGACTTTAGAACAACATCATGAAAGAAAGCTTTTGGAGTCTATGGCGCACTGTTCTGTTACACACAGGTGGAAAAGTGTGAGAATGTTGTGTGGGGACGTGGGAGGTGGAGGCTTGAGGTGACCTTAGGAGAGTGACCACGTCACTTTGGTCAACTTGCTTGACTTCTCCATCTCTAGATTCCTCATCTGTGATACTCACAAGACACAAGCCCAAATGACGTCTAGGGTTCTTTTCTCCTACCACTCTATGGCCATTTTTGAATCTATACACTGGATCACTAATCTAATTCACTTTTTTGCATCTGGTTCCTCTCAGATGAATAAGCGCCTCTTTTAACTAGTGGGGAAATTTTGACAATCATATATAATGAAAAGAGTTTTTTGAATGACAAACTCATGTTTTTGTTTCAGTACATCTGGCTCCTTATCAAACCTTTCTCAAGAAAAAGCACAGTTAAAATGATGTTGGAGATTACATAGATTATTATTTCTGAATCATTTGGTTAGAATAGACAAACTGAAAATAAATCCTATTTATTGAAAAGAAAAAAAATTCCAGTCCCCAAATGAAACCACTCACTTCCTGATGTGGGAAAATATATCCTTGGAACAATATGTTACTGCAATTGATTCCATGCTTGAGTAATTAAAGACAATTATTTTTCTAGCAAGTGCAGCCTAAAGGCACCTGGCACATCCCGGGTTCTCCCTGTGTGGGCCTCCTCCCCCCACCCCCCCACATCTGTTGAACCACTGCTCTAGGGCCCAGCTCAGATGGCACCTCCTCAGTGCCTTCCCTCGCCCCAGGCAGAATGGTAGCTCTTAGCTCTCTCTGCTCCTGCAGCATTTTCTTTCTCCTGTACACAGTGTAGCCATGAGATAAACTGGGAGTACAGAATGGCCACCAGTAGAACAGATGGACTGCCAGAAATTGGCCAGAAAACAAAGGACAGAGCTCAGCAGCGGTAAAACAAACCCTGGGAGAAAGAAAAGAAAACCCAACACTTTGGGTAAAGTCCAAATGGACCCAACCGACAATAAAGGAGACTGTGGGTTAACATATATGATTGTTAAGAAAGTGAGTTCAGATGTGTATTTTTTTAGCTAAAATCCTTATGTGAAGAGGGTGATTAAGAGGGTAAGTCCCTTATTATCTATTCTGGTTGAGGGACACGAGAAACCAAGAGCAAGCATTTATTAACCAACCCAGTAGTTCTGAGATAAGGAACAGAATGTGATTTGATATGCTCTGTGAGAGAATAAGATATAGGACCTCATTTGGCATGATTTTTTCCCATCTTATAAGGTACACAATATTCATGTTGAAGAAGAAAGCTTTGAGTTTCATTCAGTTCGCTCATTGTTTTCAGGGACACTGAACACTGTGGCAATTTCTACATGTGCATGTGACAGGCCCTACGGGATTTCTGTGTGGCACAGGATTACACGGGCTCCTCAGCTGGGGACAGTATGGGTGCCAGTTTAGTATTAGCCATGTGCTGTTCTGGAGCAACAATGTGCCCTTGTTGAGTGGACTTTGCTGGGATTGACCAGGAGACTCAAGGGGGATGTGATAATTATTAACATCATTTATATAATGACATACAAAGGCCCTTAAATCTGGAAGAAGTGGGTACTTATTAGCAATGGAAACATTCTAAGGAAACAGTTGCCGTGTTCCCTCAGCTAAAAGTCCCTGGAACAACATGGTTCCTGCACGTGGTTGGCTCTTAACACATTCTGTGGGTTGAATCTCTTTGCAGATGATGGTCATTTGGCCTCCGGCCCTCAGCAAAAAGGTGAGGGATTTCTTCATAAACTCTTATTACCCCATTTTCTTTTTCAAGTGGGAGAAAAGTGTTCATCAGGGAAGATTTTAGTAGGGTGTTCGCCTGTCTTCTTCCCTAGTGCAGAACAAGGTCCTCCCACAGTGATGAAAACAACCCCCTTCCACCCATGTTTAAGAAACGTGATACTGCATCCGAAAGGAAAGGACCTGTGGTGAGTGTCTGACAGCCTTTCCCTTTGACCATCCAATCTCCAAAGACTTCTTCATCCCTCCCAAAATGCAGATCTTCCCTTCTACAACCAAAATTAATATAAAACAAAACCCCTTTTCTATCAGGTCACTAAAAGGTAAATTGTGTATGGAAAATTCTAAGAATGCTTTAGGCTATGCCAGAATCTGGCAGTAATGGGATTGAAATTTAGAAAAGTACATTTTCTTCTTTAGATTTTTAGAAAGAAGCAGTATGTTTTCTAATTGACGCTGATAGATTTTAGAGTGGTTTAAGAAGATCAAGTCAGACATGCCTTGAGAAACAGAAACCATGACATCTAAAAGAAAGAGCAAAGAGAAGTAGCTGAAGAGAATGTAATGACTTATTTGAACACTTCTGTTTTGAGCATGATTATACCTCTATTTGTCCAAATGAATATTTGTGCATATAATTACGGTTTCCTGGAAGAGAGACACAGGCTGGTATTCTTGTGCTAACAAAGAGAAACACAGGTGATGCTCTTTTGCATTTCATCTGGATATAACTTAAGCTTCCACACCACTAGCCATTGACCAAAAGTTTTATCATGGCTGGAGCAAAAACTGGTTGCTGAAAGAGGCATGTTCACGTGGCAACTAAAACTCAGAAACTGGTAATTCGGTCATCAAGGTGTTGATATTTCAGACTTATGTTCAGCCTTGAAGCGAAGAGGATCTGGCACATGTAACTGTATGTGGGCCGTGGAGAAGGGGTGGTGGGAGAGTTCGAATTGTGAAGAATGTGGTCGAGAACTTTCAAAAATCCTTGTGTCAGCAACACTTTGAAAGATGTGGAGTAGAGGCATCATGGGAGAATTTGCACCCCCTGAGAAGAGGCGTGTTAGGAAACCCAGATTTCTAGACTCCTGGATCAGGGAGAGACTTTCAGAGAGTTCCCTGTCCAGGACAGCGTTTTCACCCAGGACAGCGTTTCACCGTGGACCTTTATGCTCCATGCCAACACACAGGCGTCCGGGTGTGCAAGGTGTCCTCTGACAGTGAACATATTATACAACCCATTCTGTTTCTAGAAAGCTCTGTGCTTTGGAACTGAGGCTGAGCTGAAATCACTGCTGCTACTGCTATGCTTGTGTCCTCATTGTACCCGCTGAACCTACTTGAATTAACTTGAAATCTAACCCCTCTTCTACCTAACAGTCCTTTTGATGGTCATTTTAAGATTTTGCTCTTTGATTTATATGTTTCCAATTCTTTCAACTTCACCCTGTGATGGAGCGTCCAGGCTGTTTACATCCCAGTCGTGGTCCAGCGTCTGAACCATCCTTTCTAAAGGCTGTGTGCCGAGACAAACACAATGCTGTAACATCCGCTTTGGTCTGAGCAGTGCAAAGCACGATAAGATGTTTAATTTCTCTGAGCTGGACATCTTGCTTCTTTTAAGACAACTTACTTTGGGATTCATTTCTATGGCAGCCATGTCACACTTTTCATTCTTTTCGAGCTTCCGGTGTGAACTGCTACAAGGTGAAGTCTTCTTGGTTCTATCCTCTGTACTTTTGTTTTGTTTTTATTTTTGAGGCTAAGTGCAGGACTCTACATTTATTTCTATTGCATTTTATTTTTCAAGTCTTGTGATACCTTTTAAAATTGTTGATCCTTTTTACTTATGTTTATCCACTTCATTTAGCTTCATATCTTGAGTGTGGCTTTGTCTGAGCCACTAATTTTGAATAGAACAAGACCATCAGGAAATGGCCTGTCATCCAGCCAACTGTCCAAGCCAGAAGCCTGGGAGTCATCCCTGATCTCTCACCTACTCTCTCATCCTGCATATCTAATTCACTGGCAAGTATCTTAGCACTTCTACCTCCAAAATATATCCCAAATCCATATGCTTTTTTTTTTTCCTTTTTCCCATCTCTGCTGACACCACTCTAGTCCAAGCCACCATCACCTTTAATTTCTGCACCACTGTGATAATCTTTGTCTTTTTCCCTTTTCTTGCCTCTTTGGATCCATCTTCCACCTATTAGCCACAGTAATCTTTTAATTTTATTGCTCCATCACTGAGTTGTAGGACAGGCCATGATGGTTTAATTCACCTATCTACCTATTTACATTCAACACCAAACATACACACAACTCTTAGCTAAGAATCAGTGAATTTATAAGTATTAGACTGTCATTTGCAAGTTATGTCAGACTTTGCCAAATATTTTGCTAAAATCAAGACATTCTCTACCTAAGAGATAGTCCTGTGACCTACCAGTTCACTCTTATCTCAAAAGATGATGTTAGGAAATAGCATGACGTCAAAGATGACAATTTAGGAAAATTCTGTTGGCCTCTATGGAGCAATCTTCTGCAGTAATCACACATAATAGTCCTGTGACCTACCAGTTCACTCTTATCTCAAAAGATGATGTTAGGAAATAGCATGACGTCAAAAATGACAATTTAGGAAAATTCTGTTGGCCTCTATGGAGCAATCTTCTGCAGTAATCACACATAAAAAAGCTATTTAATAACTTGTGCTAGAATATTGCCTGAGATCTACTTTTTACTACTTTTGAAAGCTGGGATAGATTAGCTCATTTCTGGTCCTCTGCGATACTCCTGCTCTCCACACTTTTTAAAGATTCTGACAGTGATCCTATATATATTTACTCTATTTGCTGCAAGAACATTTTAACCCATCTCTTAAACAATGAACTTCTAAACACCTGT